CCCGCCGCTGCCGCCCTCTGGAAGCTTCCCGGGCAGGACCTGCCGCAGCGCCTGGTCTGTGGGCCCGAGACGGTGAGAGTGAATGTGACCAAATGAGAGAGAACCGGGGCACGGTGATGGATTAGGGATTGCGTGAGAGATACCATGAGGGGTGAGAGGTAGTGGGGTTGAATTAGAGGGGGGTGGGGGAGACAGGCGGCGCCGCCAATGCCAACAGCTTTGAGCGGGGCAGTGAAACAAAAGCGCGGGTCGGCGGCGGGTGCGCCAGGGGTGCGTCGTGCCACAGGCGTGCGCTGGGCGTGCCGCCGTAATCTCACAAGCACTGAAGTAGACCACGTTGCCGGGGATCTGAAGAGAGCAGGAGGGGCGCCAAGAGAACAGCGAAGCCAGGGGGAAGGTGTGCGCCAGGAGTGTGATTTACGCGCATCAGACGTTTGGAGCTACTGATGCCCTGAGTCAGGGCGTGATGTTTTGTCACTGCATTCGTGCGTACGGTGGGATCCCGAAAAGCACGGAGCCTAATTTGTGCTGGGCTATTTACACAGCTGTGACTGGCCAACTCCAGCACAATGCAAGCTCCCAGCACAATGCAAGCTCCCAGCACAATGCACATGCTCCCAGCACGCACACGACACCACGCGCTCAGCCGCGCACCTCCCGCGCCATCGTCGGCCCCATGCCGCGCGCCAGCCCCGCGACGCCCTCCGCCGCTAGCAGGCGCCGCAGGCAGTGCAGCGGGCCCCGGTAGGCGTGGGCGGGGTCGGTGGTCGCGAGCTGCATGCGACACTGCGTTTTGAAATGGGTACGGCGAGAGAGGCCGATGCCGCAAGGCTCAGCACGCAGCGGCAGTCTGGGGGGATTGATTGGGCCTGAGCCGCATTCAAGTTTGCCGCGGCTGAGCCTCCAGGCCAACCTGTGACATCTGACTCATACCACAAACAGCTGCCCATCAGTCATGGCCGCCCCGAGCCCTCTCACGCACGCCCGACGGCCGCAATCTCGTCGCTTCCCGACCGCCCAGGCGCCCGAAAGCAAGGGCACAGCTGGCTGCGCGCGCAGGGCCTCGCCTTTATGAGCTCCGACGGCCCCAGCACCAGCGACACCGCGGCGCCCGCGATCCCGCCTGCGATCGGCGCCGCCGCCGCCTCCGGCACCGGCTCCTGTGCCAGCCGCAGCCACCCCCGCTCGCCAGCGCCGCCGCCCCCGCTTCCGCTGTCCTGCGACGACTGCGGCCCAACCGACGTGCTGGCATCGGCGCGCGGTGCGCTGAGGGCAGCCATGGCGGCCTGGTAGACGCCCATGAGCACGGCAGCCTCTGCGGCGCCGCCCAGTAGCCGCGGGCTGAGGCCGAGGTACACGCCTCTCAACTAGATGAATTCGGAGTTGACAGGGCCAGGCGCGTGCGGAGGGCGGCCCTCAGGTCGGCGCTGGTGCCGAGAGCGGACAGCGACCTCGGGCTGCCAGCGTAGTGCGCAAGGCGGAGCGGGTGGCGCAAGCTGATCTCTAGCCAAGCCTGCACTGTGCTGCATGAGTCCGCGGTTGAAACTGCCCCAACGCGCGCTCACCCCCTCCTTGCGCAGCGTGGTCGCCAGGCAGTGCCAGGCTCCCTGAGGGGGGCCGCTGCCGGACTGCAGTCGGACTTTTATGGAGTCCCAGGGTTGTCCCACCTACGGTGCGTCAACACAGGGTTGGACTGGGGGTGTGTGAGGAGGGGCCTGCGCAAGTGGACTGCCACAGGATCGGGCCAGCTGCCGGTTATTAGGCGGGAAAGCCCAACCGATGAAACGCACTCGCAGGCTTCAAAGCGCTGGCTGTGAGACCGCCAGCAGCAGCTCACCGCCACGCATGCCATGCCCGCCACCGCGCCTGCCGAATAGTCCACTGCCTGAGGGCGGTGGGTGAGCGGGGGTGGCTGGGTGCCTCAAGTGTGGGGCGCACCAGGGCGGGGCACACAACTCGGGCGTGGATCGATGTAGTGCTGGGCCGAGTCGAGCGGTGATGAGTGTTGCAGATTGGATGGCGTCGCTCACCCAATGTGGAACGTCCAGTTTCTGCGTGGGGACGAGGCCTCCCGCTCCTGCCACGATCGCTGCGGCCACGGGCAGTGGGCCTCGCACCGCCTCAGCGGGCGACGCCACGTTGCCCGCGTGACCCAGCGGCACGTTCCCGGGGCTGTTGAGAGACATGTGAAGGTTTCAATGAACGGCGATCCTCGCGGGATCCCTGTGCGGGGCGGCTGGTTGGTGAACTCTGGCGCGGAGACCGACACGAGACAAGGGTGCGGTGCAGAGTGTCGAAAACGACTGAAAACCGAAATTGAGATATTCTCGTTGCTCTTTCGATAGCCAGAAGGCCGATTGTGGGTTTGAGCGCATTCGCACCTGCACCTTTGGGTCACTTGTGCATCCTTCATGCCCGTTGCAGTGTGACCCGCTACGGTACCATACGTCGCACCCCTGAGATTCAGCGACTATGCTAGTGTGAAAGAATTTTTGATGGGCGATCGTGCGCTCGTTGGCCTAACCACCAGCCCAGCATATCATCCGGGTCTCACCCCTTGCACCATTGGTCAGCCACAACCCAACGGACTGCCTGCTGCGGTCCCAGCTGAGACCGATCCTTTAGGCGGCTTTCTGCCAGAAGACGCAGTCATGCTGTAACACTCCCAGGAACTTGTTTGCGTAGGTTACATAATACGCCGCTCGGCGAACCGCACGCCACAATGCTGCTCCAACTCCTGCAGTGTGCGCTCCAGCCCCAGGCCCCAAATGCCCCCAGGCTCCCAGCACGCGGCGTCGGCGCCAGACCCGTCCCCCGCACCCGCACCCGCACAGCTCCGACCCACGCCGCCGCCGCTCGGCCCCTGCTGCCGCCCTGCGGACGCCCCGCCCGCCGGCGCGGGGCCCGCCGAGCCCAACACGCGCAGCACGCGCGCCTGGGCCTCGGCGCGCTCCGCCGCCACCACCTGCGGCGACGCCGTGCAGGAGCAAGCGTGCGCCGCCGTCAGCGATGGCGGGGCAACCGACGCCCCCGGAACTCCCGACCCGAACAGGCGACCCTTCAGCCCACTGGACCCAAGCCAAGCCTCTCCGCAGCCTTACGCCGCAAGCCCACCGCCCCCTCCTCGCCCCCAAACCCTTCCGCCCTCCCATCTGCCGCCTCCCTCGCCCCCCTTGCCCCCTCACCCGTCCATCCCCTTGGTATGACGCCGCCCGCGCGCCGCGCTCCCATTGGTGAAATGCCAGCGGTGCGGCCGGCGCGAACACGTCATATCCGCGCGTCCACAGGCGCGCCAGCTGGTAGGCCTCCTCCCCGAAGAACAGGTGGCGCAGCAGCGGGCAGTAGGGGGCGTCGCGCAGGAGGGAGGCGCGGGAGAAGCTGAACCCCGCGGCCCAAAAGCGGGCGGGGAGCGGCGCTGCTGCTGCTGCTGCTGCTGCTGCTGCTGCTGCTGCTGCTGCTGCTGGTGCTGCTGCTGGTGCTGCTTGCTTTGATTCTGGCGCTGCTGCTGCTGGTGCTGCTGGTGGTCCTGATACTGGTGCTGGTGCTGTTGCTGCTTCTGGTGTTGGTTCTGGTTTTGGTGATTGTGCTGTCGCTGCTGTTGCTGGTGGTCCTGACGCTGGTGGTCCTGCTGCTGTTGCTGCTGCTGTTGCTGCTAGTGGTTGCGCTGCTGCTGCTGCTGCTGCTGCTGCTGCTGCTGCTGCTGCTGCTGCTGCTGCTGCTGTTGAAGTTGTTGCTGGTGGGTCTGTTGCTTCTGCTGTCGCTGCTGCTGTGGCTTCTAGTGCTGCTAGTGCTGCTGGTGGTGCTGCTGCTGGTGCTCTGCGCACCCTCTCAAGAGGGTGCAAGGGTCTGGACGGGGTGGTGGCGGCAATGGGAGTGGTTGGGTCGGCTCGGGCAGTGGGCGGCATTGCGGCCACCAGCCAGCTCGCCTAACTTTGCTCTGCTCTGCAGGCCAGGCGGCGCAAAGCCAGCCGGGGCGGCAAGCCGCCCCGGCTCTGTTCACGCAAGGTGCCGGGCACTCACCTGCCCCTCAGTCGCAGCATGCCTTCCGCATCGAACCCGGAAGCCTCCACGACCGTCGCAGGCGCGTCCTCCGGGACCGCCGCCGCCGCGCCGGCGCCCTCGTAGCCCGGGGGATATGCGCTCAGGACGGCTCTGGGCAACGGCAGCATTCGGATCGTGGGGTGAGCACTTAGGGGCACAGGGAGGGGCAGCAGGAGTGCTTTTGGCCTCTGTAAGAAGCCAAGCAGTAAGTGGAGCGCAAACAACGTGCAGCATGAATGCAGGTCCTCAGACGCGCCAGGCGGCCGCGTGAAACGCACGCCGCGCGAGACAACCCCGCCAAACACACTCTGGCGGGCACGCCGCCTGCTCACCGCCCGGCCGCAGACGCCACCTCTGCCCGCTGCAGCTGCTGTATGCATTTCACGTCCCAGCCCCTCACAAACCTGCGGATTGGGGTGGGGGGTGCACGCGCGCCTGCGGCCGGTGGCCCGCTTGGGTGTGCGTCCATCAGCGCGCCAGAGGCGAGCAGCTTGACAAGGGCTGCCTGCCAAAACCGCAGGTCAGCTGGTGTGTGTTAACAGCTGACCAGTGGCTTGACGACAAGAGCAGGCGGAGGCAGCCATTCTCGGCCTGCCGGCGGGCCCCTGAGGGTGGGGTGCACGTCGAAACGCGCCGAGCGCGTCCACCCACCGCATGTGCGCGTCGATCTGTAGCACGAACTCCTCCCCCCGCCACAGCGCCTCCGCCGCCGCGCGCGCCGCGCAGGGCCCCGCGGCGCGGCGCGCGTCGAGCAGGGCGAAGCGGCACTGCGGCGCGAAGCGCGCGGCGGCGGCGGCGCCGGCGATGCGGACGGCGCGAGCGTCCTCGTCGTCCCCTGGGACCACCTTCCACAGGTGGGGGCGAAGACACAATATGAAACTGTGAATATCATTCTTGATGAGGATGTGCTTGATGAGGACGTGCAATCACACATGTGCACACGGCCGACTAGATGAGTTGACGTCTCCCCGCACAGCCCAAAGGCGCCCGCGGGCCGTGCGCGCCCCGCCCCGCACAGCGCCGGCAACCAGCTGCGCGTCGTGCTCGGCACCCCAAGCCCCCCCCCCAGGCTTGTCGCACGCCGTACTCTGCCACGCGCCAGCCGCCCGGCGGCGGCCGCGGCTGTCCCGCACGCGGCACCCGTGACAGCGCGCCTGCACACCGCTCACCTGCCATGCGACGCCCGCGAATACGCGGTCTGGGTGGTCTGCCTTCAAGAAAAGGTCCTTGAGGGTCCAGGCGCACTCTGCATCGCGGTAGGCAGGGATCGACACAAAGATGCGCCCCCGCCACACCTCCTCCGCGCCCAGTCCCTCCTGCCTCACTGCCGCCGGTGGTGGCGGCGCCGCCGTCGAGGGTCGCTGGGCCGATTGCCAGGCCACCCCATCCTGTGCGGCGCCCCCGCAGCCGGCCGCGTCTGCTCCGCCATCTTCGCTATAGCCGCTGCCGCCGGGGTCCTCGCCAACACTCCGCCCGGCACCGCCGCCCGCGCTCGCGTCACCGCGGTACAGCCAGGCCGTCACCGAGTACCGCTCCCGGTGAGCTGGCAAAACCTCGTGCTCCAGGTGGGATTCGAACACCACCAGCCGTCCGCCGAGCGGGGCGATGACAACTGCCGGCTCGCCGGATAGGAACCCGAGCCCTTGGGGGCCGTCCATGGATGAGTAATTGTACAGCGCCAGCTGGCCGCCGTCAGCCTGCGCGGGAGGGGGCCGCGGTTCGACAGCGGGCCGGGTGGTCGCTCGCTGCGGGCCGCTGCAACGGCGAGTGTTTCTCAGAACACTGTTGCGATGGCGCCGTCTTGACGGCCCCAGGACACTGCTGCGGCTTGTGACCGAAATGACGCTTGAATTCATTGAAACGGATCAAGCAGCCAAACCGACCTGGGGGTTCCAGTCGGAGGGGTTCAGGTAGAGGAGGGCCGTAATGCAGCGCCCTGGGCTGCTGCCAGAGGCGTCCGCGTGGCGCACCTGCGCGACGCATAGGGCGAGCAGGGGGAGGGGTGCGCAGGCCACCGGTGGGTGGCAGGGCGGGCAGGGCCCCGGGGGCTGGCGCTGCCAGCTGCGCGTGTCGGCGGCGCACGGCCCGAATTTTGAGGGTCGAGCCGCCCGCCCGCTGTTTGACGCAGCTGCTCTGAAGCTGCCAAGCTCAAGGCTCGTCCGAGGCCCCATTCCAGCGACCAGCGCCCCCAGACCAACCCACAGATGGCAGCTCACGTATCGCGCGCCTCCTCCCGGATAGCATGCCAGCTGGAAGCTCGCGCGCCCGCTTACGTCATAGCTGCGGCGGGCAACGGGCAGGGGGTCCCCGGTCGCAGGGGTTTGCGGCCCCGCGCGGGCTCCTGTCGCGCCGGAAGGCTGCCGCGGCCGCCCTGGAAGACCATATGAGCGCGGCTGACGGCCGCCGCGCGGCCACCCCGTCTTGCTGCTGCGCCAGTCTGCCCTTCGGGGCCCCCTCTGTGCAAACTCTCCGAAACCACCCCCTGCCGTCACCCGAGTACAGTCAGCACCCGTCTGCAAACCCATACGCACCCTTTCTATAAACTCCATAACACCATACGCACCCTTGGGCGGCGAATTGGCTCCTCAGCTGCTGCGTGAGGTCTTCCACGATGGCCGCCAGCAGGGAGCAGCCACCCTCTGCCAGCTCAGCCGGCGTCACCCAGGCGTTCACGTCGCCGCGCGCGCCGCCGCTGACCCACCGGCCGCCCGACAGCGCCGTGCCCATGCCGGCGGGCTTGCCGCGGCGCCGCAGCCAGCCCTCAGCCTCTTTGGCGGCAGCCTGGTGGGTAAGGACGCATCACATGAGATCGCGAGATGCGGGGGTCGCGGCCCTGGTCGGCTGGGACTGCTTGAGAAAGCTGCATGGCATGGGGTCGCATGTCGCCGCGCATCAGCTGCAGCATGCATGTGACCGCCTTCCATGGTAGACAGCATGGGGTCCCTGCCGCCTGCCAGGCGGCCTGCCGCCTTGTTTAACCCATTTTCAGCATCCGCAGCGGCCCGGCAATGCGGCGCACCGCCACAGCAGACGGCTCCAAGACCCGATCCAGCACAGCTGCGCCGCGCCCCTGCCGCAAAGGCGGCAGCGTGATGCTGAGTGGAGGCGACGTGCCATACGAACCAGCAACGAGTGCTGCTGAAGGGGCCGCTCGTGCTGCGTGCGCGACCAGGGCAGGCGCGTCGCCAACAGCGCGCAGCAATTCGTCAGTGCTGGCCTCGGGTCGCGACGCTGGCGGTGTAGCATTTGGCGTGGAGAGAACCTCGATTTTGCGCTTCACATTGTCTGGGAGACTCGAGAGCAGGCTCTCGAGATCCATAACGGTGTGCGCCGTCGCGGACTTCAGGCACAGAGGATTTGCTTATAACTTTTTGTTGAACACGTTGGACGGATGCGTTCCGAGTCAGAGCAGCGTGGTTGCACCAGGGTCACCCAAGTTGTCACTACCTGACCACTGGACAAATTCTGCATCTGCATCCACCGCAGATGTATACGGTAGGGCTACGATGCCCACACTATGCTTGTCTGCATGCCAAGCATACAGTAGGCAGGTTCGTTACGCGCTTCTGACTGTGGTATGCAAGTCACAGACGGTGGGTGCTGTTTTTCGCCCCTCGCCCTTGGATGAGCATGGTGCCTGTGGCAGTCGTCTTGTGCAATGCACTTCCTCTGCTCAGGGATACACTTTACAGTGCTGCCAGCCAATCCGCCACCTTGCAAGCGCTGGCTGTGGCCTGTGCTGCAGTTCAGGGCCGCCCCGCTGCATGCATGTGCCAGCTCCACGACCTGTGACACACCTGCGTTGGGACCGCCAGGCATGCCACACTGGCACCAACACAGCCTGCCCTTCTCCACCCCCAGCATCAAAGCGCGACATCCCTCGCATCCCATGTCCACAGTAGATGCAATTCTAACCATTTACACGTTTCGACTCTCACACACCACCAAAGAGAAGCAGAAAGGGGGAAAGACGGAAGCTGTACGATTGATATGTGCAGTGTGGCAGGTGCAGTGTTGTGACCGGAACTCGATGTGCTGATTGGCACAGAGCTCAACGGGGCTGCCGAATAGGCGCCTCAAGTTCTCGACTAAGGGTGACTCGTATGCCGCCGCACGGGGGTCAAAATGTGGCGGCATCGCATGAACCCCAATAGGTTCATTCCAAGTCCCGAAACAAGACGGAAAGGAGAGAGAGAGTGGGGTGGCTGGTTGCTCTAGATTGCACCTGAGGTGGTGTATAGGTGTGTGTGTTCAATACATCCATCAGACGTCGCCATCCCGAACCACCCAGCCACTCCAATGACACCATAGGCTGTCATCCCTCGCGGCGCCCGCATACTGCTGCTCTGGGTGCAATTGACCACCCCAAAAAACCGACCGGAAGGTCGTCGCTGCCGCAGCCTCCGCATGTGGAGCGCGAGACGCGAGGTTCTCTTCTCTGCAAAACCCACCTCCTCAGCGCGTGACCGCGACCGCGACCGCGACCGCGACCGCGACCGCGACCGCGACCGCGACCGCGCGTATCACCGCAGCGGTATCAGGGGCGCCCGCGCCCGCCGCTTCAGTAGTAGCGGCCGTTGCTGGACCCGACTGTCAGCAGCTCGCGCTCCTCCGCCTCGGCCGCGGCCTCGGCGGCGCGGCGCTCGGCGGCCTCGGCCTCGCGCTGGGCGAGGACGGTGGTGAAGGCCGACCGCAGGATGGAGGCGTCCTGGCGGATGAGGTCCTTGGCGTCCAGCAGGCCGTGCTCACGCACCACCACCAGGACGGCGTCCACGATGTCGTCATCGTGCTGCGATCGCGCCAAGGATCAGGCCCTGTTGGCAATCACTCAAGCCGGCCGACGCGGGGTGGCTGGGGGCGGGGGGGCCGGTGCGACAGGCAGCGGCCGCGTCGGCCGCACCCCCAGCCACCCCCAAAGCCGCCCCTTGCCCCTAGCCACCCGCGGCGCCCAGACCCCAAAGCGACGGGCCCGCTCTCCCCAAGTCCGGCTGCAACCCAGCGGTCAAATCGGCGGTCAAAGCGGGGATCGAACGCGGGTTGTGCTGCTTACCAGTCCAGCGACGGCAGCCAGGCCCGCGGTGGTGCTGGGGACGTCCATCATCAGGGGGCTGCGCTTGATGGCGTCCACCACGTGCGCCACGTCCTCGTCGCTGCTGACGGCCTCGCCGGCGGCCTCGGCCTCGGCCAGGGCGGCGGCGGCAGCCTCCTCAGCGGCGCGGGCAGCGGCCTCCTCGGCCTCGATGCGGGCGACCTCCTTCGACACGTCGATCAGGATCTGGGGGGAGGTGGAGTAGCAGAGGGGTGCGGGCAGCAGGATGAGAGTGAGGGGGCCGGTGAGGAGCTGCATGTGAGGGGTGAGGCCCGCCACGCTGCAGCGTTCGCAGTCTCGAGACATGCTGTGGCGATCACGCGCGTCCACCGCTGCACGGCCCTTGCCAGCCGCCGCGCTGGAGGAGGCGCGAGCAAGGCACCCGCGCCAAGACGCAGCCCGCCACCCACCCAGCCCCAAAAGGCCCCGCCAGAGCAATCCTGCGCGGCGTGCCTCGGAAGCAGAGCAGTGCACACAGCAAAGCGGCGGCGGCCTCACTCACCGAGGCGTCGCTCCTGACCAGCTCCTTTGCGTCAAAGAGGCCCTCCACACGCATCAGCAGCACGCACGACGCGACGATCAACGCATCGTCGAGCGACGACACGGCCTTGAGGCCGCGCGCGCCGGGGGCGAGCTCCAGCATCAGGGGGCTGCGCTTGATCGCGTCGATCACGCGAGCCTCGTCCCCGATGGCCGGGGCCGCGCGGGCGGGGGCGCTGTAGGCGGGCGTGGCAGAGTACTGCGTCTCCGCGGCGAGCGCGGCGCCGGCCTCGGCGGCCTCGGCCTCGGCGGCGGCGCGGAGCTCGGCGGCGCGCTCGGCGGCCTCCTCGGCCTCGATGCGCTCAACCTCCTTGGCCACGTCGATCAGGATCTGGGGGGTAGATGCAAACCAGGTTGCAGGCGGGAGGGACGGGTGAGGTGTGTTCAGGGACAGCGGGCGCCCGCGCGGCGGAACAGACTACAAGAGCGAATGCAGCCTGCAAGTAGCAGGGGAGGCAAAGAGGGCAATGAGGGCAACCAGGGAGCTGCAAAGCGCTCCTGTGTAGAGCGGGCGCGGCTGCACGAGCCCGATGGCAGCCGGCGGCGCCACCCCGCACGACCCTGTGAGCTGAAGCGAGCAGAGCAACTTCGAAACCCCCAGCCGGCTGCGCACCGAGGCGTCCTGCTGGATCAGGGCCTTGGCGTCACCAAAGCCCTCCACGCGCATCAGCAGCACGCAGGCCGCGTTGATCATGGCGTCGTCCAGCTTGGCCAGCGCCGCCACGCCGGGCGCACCCGGGCCGAGCTCCAGCATCAGGGGGCTGCTCTTGATGGCAGCCAGCACACGCGCCTCCGCGCCGGTCGCCGCCTTGGGGGCGGGGGCGGAGTAGCTGGGCGCGCTGTAGCTGGGCGCGGCGTACGCGGGCGCGGCGTACGCGGGCGCGGCGGCGGCGGAGCCGGGGACGTACTCCTCGCCGGCGGCCTCGGCGGCCAGGCGGGCCTCCTCCTCAGCCAGCTCGGCGGCGCGGATGGCGGCCTCCTCGGCCTCGATGCGCTCAACCTCCTTGGACACGTCGATCAGGATCTGAGGGGCAGATATGAACGAGGTTGCGAGGCGGAAGGGGCGGGGGGTTTGGCGTTTGGCGGGCTGGAAGACATGGGGCCAGAGCTCACAATAAGAAAAAGGGGCCCAGCTGGCAGGCAGGGCAGCAGCGGTGCAGCCCCTATTTGGGAGGGTGGAGGCCCCTCAATGTCGCAACAAGACCGTCTGGTCCCGGCAGGCACAGTGCCAAGCCTGAGGCTCCTCGGACTCCAGCCACACACCAAGAAGGGTTCAAACCCACACAAAACCAGGGCCAACTCCCATTATGAGCCCAGGAACCCCTCCCAACACCACACTCGGACTACCGCCCCGTTGGACTGTGCCTGCTGCACAGTCCCACCCGTCTGATACTTCTCCACTTCAGCTCAAAATCTGAGCGAGCCCCGTTGACGTGCCTCCGCTTGAACCCTTTCAACCAGGCCGCTGCTCGGCCCGCAAAAAGCACCCGAAAAACTTCCTTCGCAGCGGCGCCGCTCACCGAGGCGTCCTCCCTGATCATCTCCTTGGCGTCGAACATGCCCTCCACGCGCATCAGCAGCACGGTGGAGGCGATGATCAGCTCGTCGGACTGGGGAAAGAGGGACGAGAAGGATGCGTGTGCAGCAGGGGAGTTGGTGAGGGCCGGACGCGGTGGCAGGGGCGCGTCGAGTTGGGGCGGGAAAGGCACCAGCGGGGTTTTGACTGGGGCGGAGCAGCGGCGGCTGGGATGCAAAGAGGGGGCAGGAAGGGTGCCGTTTGGCCCTAAAAAGCGAGCCGCGCCGCACGCGCCTGCAAAGGAACCCTGGCAGTGCGAACTCACCAGGGAAGAGAGGGTGGACAGGCCGCGGGCGTTGGCGGGCAGATCCAGGCTGAGGGGGCTGCGCCTGAGGGCGTCCAGCACGCGCGCGGTCTCGCCGACCGCGGACGCGACGGCCGCGGCCGCGGCGTACGCGGGCTCGTAGGCGGTCGCCGCGGGCGCCGAGTACGACGCGGTGGCGGAGCCGGGGACGTACTCCTCGCCGGCGGCCTCGGCAGCCAGGCGGGCCTCCTCCTCGGCCAGCTCGGCAGCGCGGGCGGCGGCCTCCTCGGCCTCGATGCGCTCCACCTCCTTGGCCACATCCAGCAGGATCTGAGGGGGCACGAAGGCAAGCAGTTCAGATCTCGTCAGAAATGGTGAACGCAAGAGTGCAGCAGGCGGTGCACCAAACTGCGGATGCAGCAGAGCCGGCACATGCAAACCCCCGCATCCAGGTTGATGCGTGCTGCTCAGAGGGCGGACAGCAGCTGGATACGATCGGTCAGGGGATCAACGTCATACTCACGGGCACAAGGCGTCCCAAACCCCCAAGTGGTGGAACCCCAGATCCTCACCGAGACGTCGTTGCGCAGGATCTCCTTGGCATCGAACATGCCCTCCACGCGCATCAGCAGCACGCAGGCCGCGTTGATCATGGGGTCGTCCAGCTTGGCGACCGCGTCGAGGCCGCGGGCGTTGGCGGGCAGCTCCAGCATCAGGGGGCTGTCCTTGATCGCCGCGAGCACGCGGGCAACCGGGCCGACGGCGGCCGGCGCCGCCCTGGGGGCGGGGGCAGCGTAGCTGGGCGCGCTGTAGCTGGGCGCCGAGTACGCGGGCTCGGGCGCAGAGTACGCAGCCGCGGCGGTGCCGGGGATGTACTCCTCGCCGGCGGCCTCGGCCGCAGCGCGGGCCTCAGCCTCAGCCAGCTCAGCCTGGCGCTCAGCCTCCTCCCTAGCCCAGTTGGCCTGGGCGGTCTTGGCGGCGGGCACCAGGACGGACAGGTCGCGGGCCAGGATCTGCTTGGCATCAAACAGGCCGTGCTCGCGCAGCAGCACCACGGCGGCGCCGATGATCAGGTCCTCAGACTGCGTTTGGGAGCACCGGAGAGGCAGCAAGGGCTGTGAGTTGCACACCAACACATAAAGAGACGGCTGGCAGCGTGAACCCAGCAGCAGTACAGCGGATGCCCACTGTGGCAGGCGGCGAGTTTTATGTGGCATGTGCTGTGCTGCTGCCAATCCGCCTGCAACAGTCCAACGTTGCAAGCGGCAGAATACAGGGGGAGATTAACCCACACACGTGACAGCGGATTGCAGCCGCGCATAAGAGACGCAGCCCACTCACCAGGCGGGAAGCCTCCTGGATGCCGCGGGTGTTGGGCGAGACCTCCAGCATCAGGGGACTGCGCTTGAGCGCCTCAATGACGTCATCGTACTGGCCCTTGGGGGCGCTGTAAGAGCTGGGGGCGCTGTAAGAGCTTGGGGCGCTGTAAGAGCTGGGGGCACTGTAAGAGCTGTAGGAGCTGGGCGCACTGTAGCTGGGCGCACTGTAGCTGGGCGCGCTGTAGCTGG